CCTCCTCCTCTCCTCCTCCTCCTCTCCTCTCTCCTCCTCTCCTCCTCCTCCTCCTCTTGCTCCTCCTCCTCCTCCTCTTGCTCCTCTGCTCCTCCTCCTCCTCCTCCTCCTCTTCCTCCTCTCCTCCTCCTCCTCCTCTCCTCCTCCTCCTCATCCTCCTCCTCCTCCTCCTCATCCTCTCCTCCTCCTCCTCCCCTCCTCCTCCTCCTACTCCTCCTCCTCCTCCTCCTACTCTCCTCCTCCTCTACTCTTGCTCCTCCTCCTCCCCCTTCTCCTCCTCCTCCTCCTCCTCTCCTCCTCCTCCTCCTCTCCTCCTCCTCCTCCTCCTCCTCCCATCCTCCCCACCTCTCCCCCTCCTCCTCCTCCTCCTCATCCTCAATCTCCTCCTCCTCCTCCTCCTCCTCCTTCCTCTCCTCCGACTCCTCCTTCATCCTTCGCGTCCTCCTCCTCCCTTCCTCCCTCCTCCTCCTCCTCTCCTCCTCCTCCTCCTCCTCCTCTTGCTCCTCCTCCTCCTCCTCCTCCTCTTCTCCTCCTCCTCCTCCTCTCCTCCTCCTTCCTCCTCTCCTCCTCCTTCTCTCCTTCCTCCTCCTCCTCCTCCTCCTCCTAATGCCGTTCCCCTTCCTAGACCTCCCCCATCATCCATGCAAGTCTCATGGGCATCATAGTAACCGTCAAAAGTTTAGGAAGTCCCGGGCGACAGCGCGATTCACAAGCAAATCGCATGGAAGTCTTAGGCGGGAGCCTCTGTTGTTGTAGCCCGACGCCCTGGGGCGCAGTTTGCGCAGGAAGAGTTGCACTGACCAAAAGAGGGTTCGAGAACCGGGGGGGCACTTCAATTGACAAAAACACAGTGGACACTGGTGACGGTGGGAGGGGGTCAACAATTGTCCCAAAACCGTGTTTGCACTTCAGGCTTCTCGTTTTTCTTCAAGGAACTGGGCCTGTCTGTCGCTCTGGCCGCTATGTGGCCGCCGTCGGCGCCCCGTCGCCGCCTGATCGCCGCCCATCGTGTGTACCTGTCTGTCGTGTTGGCGGCTGTGGCCGCCGTCACCGCCCCGTCGCCGCATCGTCGCCGCTTGTCGTCTGGGCCTATCTGTCGGTCTGGTGGATTTGTGGCCGCCGTCGCCGCCCAGCCGCCGCTTCGTCGCCGCTCTAGATTGCACAACACCGATTGCACAGCATTGATTGCACCACAAAGCTTGCACCGCACATACTATCCTTTCTCAAAGGAAACGTAGCTCTACCCCCCTCCCCCCTGGGATTATAGGCCCCCTTTTCGCATTGCAATGTACATGCGATTCTGCCCTGTTGTCCATCGTATACATGAACTCATACCACCCCATCCCAACTGGCATCGCCCCCTGGCCAATCTTATATATATATACTGCGCGCGCATTTCAATCAAGTGCTACCAATCGGACTTCGCGCGCGCATTTCGAGATCGTTCGAACGCCCGTGCGCGCGTGCTGGGGTGGCACGATCCGTGTCAAATGAAACCATGCGCGCCACTCTCGCGCGTCTGCCGCGCGCGCATGTCGAACTCCTTCCAAAACCGACATCACCGACGCGAAGACGCCGTTGTCGTCGTCGGCGTGATCAGCATCGGCGCCGTCACTGTTTACCCCGTCGTCGCTGCCGGCATCGCCACTAGCATCGCTACGATCATCATCGCGTTTACCGTTGTCGACGTTGCCATGATACCGCACCCGCCAAAATCCCCGACTCGCACTGAAGTGCCCGCTGGGATGTGCCGAGTCTTCAACGCCACCGCGTTCGCGTCGGTCGCGCCAAACCAGCTGGCCGCTGCGCGCGCGAGCATGCGCGGGCTAGCGCGGACGCAGCGATGCACCAGCCAACACCCAACACTCATCGCAATTGCTTCCGCATGGGTTTTGCAAAACAAGTTGCGGGCGGGCGGGTGGGATGGGAGCAGCGGAATAGACAACTTCAAGCTCGGCAAGTAAATTATCCCTTCTTGGACCTTCTACCCCAACCACCATCCCGGGACTACAACTCCCCCTGGGGCACTGCAAATTACATATGATGCTGCACATGAGAACTCAACCACAACAACGACGCGACGACAACAACAATAAAAACAATACCAATAACGACAACAACCAAACAAGAACACAACAACAAGAACAGCAGCAACAACAACAACAGCATCATCAGCAATAACGGCATCAACGGCAACAACAACAAACAACTACGATCATTACTATGATTACTACTACTACTACTACGACTACGACTACGACTACTAAGACTACGACTACGACTACGACTACCACTACCACTACTACTACTACTACGACTACTACTACTACTACTACTACTACTACTACTACTACTACGACTACTACTACGACTACTACTACTACTACTACTACTACTACTACTACTACTACTACTACTACCGCTCCTACTACTACAAGTACCACCACCACCACCACCACCACCACCACCACCACCACCACCACCACCACCACCACCACCA